CCTTCATGCCATTGACAATCCGGACTGCGAGCAGAATCAAGCCTTCTGTCAAGATACCATTGAGTGGGGAAAAACCTGTAACGACATCTGGATCTGGAATTACAACACCAATTTCCGCTCCTACGATTTGCCGTTCCCGAATCTGCAGAGTCTTGCTCCCAATGTCCGTTATTTCTTGCGCAACAACGCCAAAGGAGTCTTCATGCAGGCAAACGGCAACGGGTTAACAGGCGAATTTTCCGATCTACGGAATTACCTAATCTCGCACCTCATCTGGAACCCACATCTTGATGCGAACGCGCTTTTAACCGAATTTGTGAATCTCCACTACGAAGCCGCGGCACCTCCGATTTTGGAGTATATCACCTATCTCCACGACAACGTTGAGGCGAGAAGTCTTCACCCACGGTGTTTCCCGACCCCAGAAGACGTTGGCTTAGACGCGGAAAGCACACAGACTATCTTTGACTATTTTCAGCAAGCGTTGGCACTGGCATCCGGGAAATCAGAGATCCGGGGGCGTGTGGAAAAAGCCACCATCCCTGCCTACAAAGCAATGGTCGTTGCTGGCGGCGAGATGTCATCCCAAAGACGGCGGACGCTGATTGATGAATATATTACGTTGTGCGAACGCTATAACATGTCACACGCCGCAGAAACACAAACGGCAGAAGCATATTTTGAGGAGTTGCGCCGTCAATAGTAAACAACCTTCAGCGCACTATATTTCTCTACAGAGATTTTGAAGAAACACCCAAGCAAATCCCCTAAGAGTCGGAGTTAGAAACCCTCCCACAGTTCTGGCTCCGTTGAAGCAGGTCGCTTATGGGCGAGTACGCCGCAAAATTGACCAGAAACCGCCGCGTAATGTAATGGAGCGGCGCCCAGATGTCCATAATTAAAAATATGTTTGATTTCCGAACTCCACTCTTCCTGATCCTACTCGTCGCGATTCCTGTGTTAATCTTTGTGCAGCGGAGAGCACGCCTCAGCACAGCAAAATGGCGAAAGCGCGTAACCTTCTTCCTTAGGGGTGCTGCACTTCTCTGTGCAATCCTCGCCTTAGCCAATCTGCACCGGACGCACCAGGAACAACGTCTCGCTGTCGTTTTCCTAATCGATACTTCCGAAAGCATCCAGCCCACACAATACGAAGAGGCATCTAAACAGATAAACGCCGCTGTCGCAAAATTGAAACCAACTGACAAATTTGGCATTATCAGTTTTGCAAGGGAAGCCGTGGTCCTACTGGAAATCCGTCAGAAACAAGATCAACCAACGGAAATCGCGCCTATAGTGTCCTTGGAAACACTCGCAGAACAAACCATCCGGCGAGATGGCACCGATGTGCTTACCGCGCTCAAGCGGACAATCGCCTTATTACCAGACAATTACCATCGACGGATAGTCCTATTTAGCGATGGAATCCACAACGCTGGCGGAATATCCCTCAAAGATTTCCTACCATTGCTCTCGGCAAGCACTGTCGAGATATTAACGACACCTCTCGGTACTGTTAACGATGCAGTTCGCGTAGTGCAGCTGCAGGTGCCGTCTCAGGTTCGCAAAGGACAAAGTTTTGAGATTGGTGCAGTGATCGAAACTGATGGTAGTATCCCCACGTTAACCGCCACCCTCTATCACAATGACAGGTCAATTGACGAATTTGAATGGACATTGCCAAGCGGTATACATCCCCTTTCCTTAACCCCTGAACAGTTTTTAGAAGAGGGCACTCATAGGTACACGCTGAAGTTGAACGTAACCGATGAAATCCCCGAGAATAATCAGGGACATGGGGTTGTGACAATTCAGGATAAACCACACGCCCTATACGTAGAAGGGGATCTGGCACACACTGCGACTTCCCCAGGCCCGGTAGGTGCGGTTTCTAACCGCACCGGGCATCGTGCTGAACTGGAAACCGTCCTTGAGGAGAACGGCTTCGTCGTCGAGGCAATATCCCCTACAGAAATGCCCGCGGAATTAGTGGAACTCCAACGCAGCCAGGTCTTGATTCTGAGCAACGTTTCTGCAGAGACACTTTCATCTGAACAGTTACAGAGCATCGAAAATTACGTCCGAGACCTCGGACATGGATTCGTGGTTATTGGTGGAGAACGCGCATTCGGACCCGGCGGCTATACCGATACGGCGTTGGAGCGCGCATTACCCGTGGAAATGACACCCCGTGAACGCAAAGACACTGTCGCGATTGTTTTTGTACTTGATACATCCGGGAGTATGGCAAACTACGTCGAGACGCGGCAGAAGATTGGACTCGCAATTGAAGGGGTTCGTGCCGGCATCCGCAATCTCGATGAGGAAGATGAGGCGGGAATTCTCGGTTTCAACATAGATGTTCACACTATCTCCGATCTTACATCTGATCACGATGTGCTCCGCCGAACTGTGAGCCAGCTTAGACCAGCAGGCGGCACCACGAAGATGAAAGATGCTACGAAACGAGCGTACGAGATGCTCAAAGCAAACGACGCGAAACGGAAGCACATCGTTCTCTTATCAGACGGTAAATCTGATGGTGATACGTCCGCTTTCCTTGACTTAGCCGAACAGATTGCTGAAGCACACATCGGCATCACAACGATCGCGATAGGTGACGCAAACAAGGAACTCCTCACGCAGTTCGCAGAGAACGGTGGCGGACATGCTGTGTTTGTGGAAAATATTCAACAATTGCCAGCGATTTTAACGGAAGCCGTCCGAGAAACGCAGCGTTACATCGTTCAAGAACCCTTTCAACCCGTTATTGCTACGACAACTGAATCAATTGTGGCAGGTATAGGGATGCTACCGCCGCTCCATGGGTACGTTGCGACGACTGAAAAAGAGACTGCACAGGTGTTCATCCATTCGCATAAAGACGAACCGATCCTCGCAGGTTGGAATTTCGGCTTGGGGAAAGCGATCGCTTGGACATCAGACGTTAAACCAGCATGGGCAAAAGAGTGGATTCCGTGGCACAACTTTGGGAAATTTTGGGGACAAGTTATCAATTGGACGCTACCGGCGGCAGACGCAGGCTCCGACTTCGATCTCAGAGTGTCTATGCATCACGGTGTGGCGGAGGTCAACATCGATACGCGGATACCATCAGAAGCGTCTTATAAGGTGCACGTCGTAGGTCCAGATGGCGCAAGCGAGATCGTTGAAATCCAACAGGTTACACCGACCCGTTACACCGGCACATTCCAGATGCAGGACAGTGGATCCTATATCGTTACTGCCGAGCGTGAAGGCGATACGCTTAGAAGCGTCGAAACCTCTGTCGCTCCCTTATCCGGCAGAATATGCCGAGTTTAGGGTCAATACCGCCTCGTTAAAGATGCTCGCAGCTGGCACCGCTGGGTATTCACGAACCTACACCCACACAGATAGCAGCACCGGCTGGGGCGGCAATCGAAAGGCAGACCTCGCTTGCCCAAGTACTACTCGTTGTCGCCGCCATTCTGTTTGTGTTAGAGATGATCCTCCGGCGTTTCAGCATAACGCACCGTCTTGTAGGAGCGATCTCCGAATCGCGACTCTTCGCTCGATTCCGTGGAAAATCCGTAGGCAACCCGGCAGAGGTCCAAACCATACACGCACCTATAGACAACACTATGCCATCGAATAGACGCGTCACAGAAGACACAACGCCTCCGCAGCCAGCAGAAGCTTCGATGACTCGATTATTAGCCGCCAAAAGGCGAGCACGTTAATGCTGCGCTGTCAGCGTATGCGATTTTTGCTAAAGGATTGGACTATTGAGAGTAGGTTGGTGTGAATTGCGTCTGAAGTGAGTTTCAAGATATGGATGTTCGCCGCAACATTATCAGTGATCTCTTGTTGTGTAATGGGTTTCACATTCAGCCTCTTCAAATAAAAGACATTGTGGCGAGTTGATATGCTCTTTCGCTAATTGATAATACTGAGGTAAAATTTCAATCCCAACAGAATTTCTTAATAACGTTTGAGCGACCTGACATGTCGTACCAGCACCTGCAAAGGGATCAAGCACCGAATCATTTTCTTTCGTAAACAACTTGATAAACCATTCAGGCAATGCTTTAGGAAAAACGGCACTGTGTTTCCGATTTCCCGTTTCTGTTGCCAAGTGCAAGACGTTTGTGGGATACGCCATTTTCCGATCTAACCAATTTGAAACATTCTTACCAAACCCACTCCCCACTTTCGATGTATCCCGATTTTGATCTGTCTCGCTGAGATTCTTTAATCTTTTTTCTGCCCAATCTCCCATCGGCACCATAACTGCCTCTTGGTACATATTGAATTTCCTGCTTTTATTAAACTGCAAACATCTTTCCCAAGCGTCCCTGAATCGGTTTGGCCATTTGCCCGGATAGCAGTTTTTCTTGTGCCAGGCAAATTCTTCTGTCCACAAACCATCCCTGCTTTTTCATCTCAAGTATCAACTCAATGACATAAGTATGCCGTTCTCCGCCAATGGCTTGCTCTTTGATATTTAGAATGAATGTACCAGACGGCTTGAGGACCCTTAAAAATTCTTCAGCACGAGGCATAAACCAATTGACATATTCATCGGGGCTGATTCCGCCATACGTTTTGGATCGGCGATCCGCATACGGAGGAGAAGTTATAATCAGGTCGAATGAATCGGGATCAAAATCGGCGAGTACCTCTAAGCAATCTCCAAGATAAAGGTCTGTTTTTATTCCTGTCATTCAATAATCTGCCTTTATGTGAGTAATTACCAAGATAATACCATACTTGCACCAAAAAATCAAGCAAAAGGTTAGCGTTTACGCACCACATTACGCTGAAGAACCAATGGTACGATAGATATATAGAGTAGGTAGGAATGAAGGAAAAAGAATCGCTACTCGATGCGGATAGAAGTGATACTTTCGATAGTTTATTGGATAGATACTGTAATGAAACCCAACACCTCAATCCAACTTAAGTTCGTATTATGAAGTACTGGGTTTCACTCGTATTTGGAAGGTTGCGAGTAGCCACTAAAAGGCGAGCGCGTTAGGGTTATGCCGGAGATCGCGTCGAATCTCGTGCCAAGGACCGGTGATTGCCAACGTAATCCCAGGACTCTGAATATTCACAAAGAGCGTCGTGCCATCCGGTGAGAACGTCGCACCCGCGAGTTCAGAAAGATTACCGGCGTTGCGAGCAAATCGGTAGAGGTTTCCTTCGGGGGTTACGCCAATTAGGAACTCCTCGTTTGGACCATCTTCACAGATGATTAAATCCCCCCAAGGTGTGACTGTCAAGTTATCCGCATTCTCCAGGAGATTGCTGTCGTTTGGCTCAATGAAGAGTTGCAGTGTGCCGGGTTGTTGTTCCTCTCGGCTTGTGCCTTCGTAAGGACTCGGTATGTATTTCCAGATCTGCCCCTTGTACGCAATACCACCGTTTGTGCAGGCAATATAGAATTCTCCGTGTTCTTGACGACTGCCGTACCAAATCCCTTCTCCTCGTGCAAACTTCGCCGCGTCTTTACCTTCAGCCCCTTGTACGCGGAGGTCGTCGTCCGGCGATTCCACGTTCTCAATATCTACCCATTCAACGGCAAGGGTTTCACCGACTGGAATCGGATTGTACGTCCACCGGAAAACCTTTTGACTCCGGCTCCGCCAATTTCGGGTATCTGCGCTTTTCATATCCCGAATCTTCAGTGCCTGAAGCTTGCCACCTGCCGCGAGTTCACCCGGCTTCTCTGGGATAAACCGAAAGATTAAACTATCACCTCTGTCTTCCGTTTGATAGACAATTCCAGTTCTGGGATCGACGGCGACCGCTTCATGGTTGAAACGTCCCATCGCCTTCAACGCGACAGGCGGAGCTAATCCGATGTCAGCAGAAGCCGGCACCTCAAAATTATACCCATGCTCGGTTTCGTACGTCTCCTCTGCCTTCTGCATGGTTTCTTCACAGGTTATCCACGTGTTCCAAGGGGTCAGTCCACCGGCACAATTTCGGATCGTTCCTGTGAGACTCAAAAAATGTTTCTCCAGCGTCTGCGTCCGCGTGTCATAGACGAGCGTCGTCGTTCCACCGATACACGGCAGTTCACCGGACCCAGCGTCATAGAGTTTGTCAACAACAGCACGCTCAATCTTTTCGTTATTCCATCCAAAGGGTCCGACGTTTTTGGCAGTTGCGACCAATTCGTGATTCCGGACCAAGATGGTTTTACCGTTGGGACCGGGAAATGCTGCCATGCCATCATGTCCGCCCGGCACCCAGAGGCCATCATCCATCTGCTCGCCTGTTCTCGAAAAGGCGTGGGCAGTAAACCCTTCCGGGAGGTCAAGGAGGCTGTTTGGGCTCGGCGTGAACTCATAAGGCGGATCAGGTCTAAAGCCCGGCACCTTTTGAATCAAGGCATTGCCGCACCCTAAAAATCCGAGACTGACCGCTGCAGAGGCAGTCGCAAGTGTTCCAAAACGTAAAAACTGTCGTCGAGATAACCTATTCTTCATAAATTTTTCCTCATCCGCCAAGCGTCAAAGCGGAAATCAAGGTTTTTGTATTGTGAATGAGATGCATCTTTTCGCTTATATAATAAAGTATAACTCTAAAATTTTACAATACTTTTGCGATTTTTTCAAAGGTTTATTACAAACCGCCAGCCATTTACACTGAATTATAGAAATAAATAGAGATTTCAATGAGCAGCGGCTGAGAAAAGCCCGCTTGACAATACAACGAGGATGTGTTAAAATTTATTCTCGTAAAGCCACTATGAACAGGATGTAAAAGGAGACGCACACGAAATGGACAACCATTCTTACGCCCCGGCAGAAATAGAACCTTATTGGCAAGCCGTGTGGCGAGAAAAAGAAGCATTCAAAATTCCAAATGATATTGAGACACTGGCAAAAAAACCTAAGTTCTACGTACTTGGAATGTTTCCCTATACCTCAGGTGCTGGGCTTCACATGGGACACGCAAAAAACTACGTGCCGACCGATGTGCTCGCAAATTTCCGGCGGATGCAGGGCTACCATGTGATGCACCCAATGGGATGGGATGCCTTCGGGCTTCCGACGGAACGCACAGCCGTACGTGAAAATGAACATCCGGCACACATTACAAAGCGGAACACCGAAACTTTTCAGCAACAGATCAACGCATCGGTCTCTCTTATGACTGGTCCCGTAAAATTGACACCTCCCTACCCGAATACTACAGATGGACGCAATGGATTTTCCTCCGCCTCTATGAAAAAGATTTGGCATATCTCGCCAACGTACCCGTCAACTGGTGTCCAGCGTTAGGCACCGTCCTCTCAAACGAAGAGGTAAAAGACGGTAAATACGTTGAAACCGAAGACCCTGTTGAACGCCGTCTCATGCACCAATGGATGCTCAAAATCACCGTTTACGCAGAACGGTTGCTGGAAGACTTAGATTTACTGGATTGGCCTGACGGACTCAAGGAAATGCAACGACACTGGATCGGTAAATCAGAGGGGGCGGACATTATCTTTGATATTAAAGATAGCGATAACACGTTCACCGTTTTCACGACGCGTCCAGATACACTCTTTGGTGCAACCTACTGTGTCCTCGCACCCGAACATCCGCTCGTCTCTGAGATAACGCATCCCGATGCCGCATCCGCAGTGAACGCTTATGTTACGGAAGCTGTCAACAAATCTGATCTCCAACGGACAGATCTCGCCACAGAGAAAACAGGTGTTTTCACGGGGGCTTATGCGATTAACCCGTGCAACAACGCTCCGATCCCAATCTGGGTTGCCGATTACGTCCTGATGACGTACGGCACGGGTGCCATCATGGCTGTCCCCGGACACGATGAACGCGACCATGAATTCGCTTCAGCTTTTGGTATCTCTATTGTTGAAGTTATCAAAGGTGGTGAAAAGCCGATCGAAGAGGTGCCTTTTGTCGGCGACGGGGTGTGTGTCAACTCAGATTTCCTCAACGGCTTGCGGGTCGCTGAGGCGAAGGAGAAAATGATCGCATGGCTCGAATGTGAAGGGAGAGGCACGCGTCAAGTTCAATACCGTTTACGGGACTGGCTCTTCTCGCGGCAGCGGTATTGGGGTGAACCTTTCCCGCTTGCACATCTTGAGGATGGCACTATTGTTCAACTGCCGGACGAGGAATTGCCTGTTGAACTGCCGCCTATTGATGCCTATAAACCGACGGAAGACGGCAAACCGCCACTTGCCCGCGCCGATGAGGAATGGCTGAAGGTGAGGCTACCTGACGGCAGAATCGCTACGCGAGAAACGAACATTATGCCGCAGTGGGCAGGTTCTTGTTGGTATTACCTCCGCTTCTTGGATGCACACAATACCGAGGCACCTTTTGATACCGCACTTGAACAGTATTGGATGCCGGTAGACCTCTACATGGGCGGTGCTGAGCACGCTGTGTTGCACCTGCTCTATGCACGTTTCTGGCATAAAGTACTTTACGATTCTGGATTGGTATCCACGCAAGAGCCGTTCCAAGGCTTGGTGAACCAAGGCACAATCCTCGCGGAATCTTATCAAGACGATGCGGGCAAATACTACTATCCGCACGAAGTCGAACAGAATAATGGAAAAGCGGTTGCGAAAACTTCCGGCGTGCCGCTCAATGTGCAATTAGAGAAGATGTCGAAATCTCGTTTTAACGTCATCAATCCGGACGATGTCATCGACAGATATGGCGCGGATGCAATTCGCCTCTACCTACTGTTTATCGGACCCGTCACTGCAAGCACACCGTGGCAAGATGCCGGTGTAGAGGGGGTCTATCGGTTCCTTCAACGCGTCTGGAGGCTTGTTATTGATGAAGACAGCGGCGAACTCAGCGAGAAGTTGACAGACGCTGCTGGCACAACGGAGTCCGAACTCTGGCGCGAACTCCATAAGACCATCAAGCAGGTAACGGAAGACACGGAGTCGATCGACAAAATGAATACAGCAATCAGCCAGATGATGATCTTCGTTAACACCGCTACACAGACGAAAACGCTACCGAAGGAGACCTTGAAGATCTTTCTACATCTGCTCGCGCCCTATGCCCCGCATATTGCGCAGGAGTTGTGGCATCGTCTCAGTGAAGCGGGATTTATCGCACACGAACAGTGGCCCACACACGATGAGGCAGTACTCACAAGTGCTACCGTAACCATTATTGCCCAAGTCAACGGGAAACTTCGCAATCGGCTCCAACTTCCTGCCGATGCGACCAACAAAGAGATCGAGGAAGCCGCACTTGCAGACGAACGGGTTCAGCGGTTCATTGAAGGAAAACCGATTCGGAAGGTCATCGTCGTGCCGAACCGGAATCTTATCAATATCGTTGTTTAAAATAGTTATCGGTTATCAGTTTTCAGTAGGGATAGGTCTTGTATCTGCCTGATATGGGTATCTACAAGGGATGCCCCTACGAACAATTTACCGCCTTCTGGAGGACTCCAAATTTGGGTAGACTGTTACAAAAGTGTCTCTTAACTGATGACTGACAAATCTCACTACGATGCAGACGGATAACCAATAAAAAATATGACAGAAGATTTGAAATTTAAAAAAACCAATGGAAACGTTTCGATCGTTCCATTGGGAGGTTTAGGTGAATTTGGGCTCAACATGATGGTGTATGAGACCGAAAATGACATTATCGTCATTGATACCGGTTTCATGCTACCGAATGCAGACATGCCCGGTGTCGATCTGATATTACCAGACATCCACTATCTGGTTGAACGAAAAGAGAAGGTTCGCGGTATCCTACTAACCCATGGACATGAGGATCATATTGGTGCCTTATTCTACGTTCTACGGCAGTTAGATGTACCGGTTTACGGCACGCAGCTTACGCTCGCGATCGCGAGTGGCCGGTTACGTGAATACAATGTGCTCGGCAAGGCACAACTCAATACGGTTGCCCCCGGCGATACGGTCGAATTGGGTGATTTCTCAGCGGAATTCATCCATGTTACACATAGTATTCCAGATACCGTATCAATCGCACTACGCACACCGGTCGGCGTTATCGTCCATACCGGTGATTTCAAGTTTGACATGACCCCTGTCGATGGCAAGATGAGTGATATTCAGACGCTCGCGCGTTTGGGTTCAGAGGGTGTCCATCTGCTCATCTCCGATAGTACAAACGCAGAGCGATCCGGGCAAACTCCTTCCGAGCGAAGCATCTATGGGACGATAGACAATATCTTTCAGAAAGCGGATCAGAAGTTGCTCCTCTGCACCTTTTCTTCGAGTCTACACCGTATCCAGCAATTCATCAATCTGGCAAATATACACCGGCGGCTCGTCGCTGTTACCGGACGCTCTCTCATCAACAATGTGCGTATCGCTTCCGAACTCGGTTACCTCAACCTGAACCCGGACTATCTCATTGACGCTCGCGATGCGTCCACGTTCAAATCGCACGAGGTCATGATTTTGTGCACCGGCAGCCAAGGTGAACCCCGCTCTGCCATGTCACTGATGGCACTTGATAATCATCCGTTTCTAAAGGTAGAACATGGCGATACCGTCGTTATGTCCGCAAGAATCATCCCCGGCAACGAAAAGGCTATCGGAAACGTCGTAAACCATCTACTCAGACGTGGCGCGAAGATATACCATGAACGCAATGCAAATGTCCATGTATCAGGGCACGGCGCGAGTGAAGATTTGAAGTTGATGCTTAATCTTTTACAGCCTAAGTTTTTCATGCCGGTGCACGGCGAATATCAAAATCTAATGAGGCATGCCGAACTCGCCGAGTCTGTTGGTATACCGAGTGAGAACATTAAAGTCGCTGAAGATGGCGAACTTATTCGCCTCACACCTGAGACATGCAAAATCTTTGGACGCGAGGGACGTTCTGGACGCGTGCTTGTTGATGGGAAACCCGACATTGAGCTTGAGGATATCGTCCTACGCGACCGTATCCAACTCTCCGAAGAGGGTATCCTCGTCCCTATTATTGTCCTGCACAGTGACATAAAAGCAGATACAAGCGGCACAGACAACGGAGGTAGCTCGGAGAACATGCCTACCGGAATTGGGGCTGTTGATGAAATTATACAGACAGACCTTCCGCCCAAAACGGGATTGAACGCCGGACAGATAGAAATTATCTCGCGCGGGTTTGTCTACATGGACAAATCCGAAGAGCTGATAGAAGAAGCGAAAGAGATTACGCGGCGCGTGGTTGAAAACCTGAGCGATGAACAGAAGCACGAAACGCAGGTAGTCCAAGATGAGATCCGAAGCGCGCTCCGCCGGTTTTTCTCGAAACAGATGCAGCGGACCCCACTCATCTTTCCCGTCGTTATGCGGGTGTAGACAACACTACGCTTCAATTATTCAGGAAACGTAGATCCTAATCAGAAAACAGAATGATCTGTAAGGTCATTCTGCACGGAGGCAAATAGTTTAAAAGAATGAAGACGATGTATGAAAAAATATGGGAAGCGCATCTCGTTCGTGCCGCCGCAGACGCGGTGCCGATCCTCTATATCGACACACACCTCGTTCACGAAGTCACATCCCCACAAGCGTTTGAGGGGTTAAGGCTCAACAACCGAAAGGTACGTCGTCCTGATCTGGCGTTCGCCACGATGGACCACAACGTACCCACAACGGATAGGTCACTGCCCATCACCGACCTGATTGCCGCGAAACAGATGGAAACGCTCGCGCAAAACTGCACCGAGTTTGACATCCGGCTCTACGACATCGACAGTCCTGAACAAGGCATCGTGCATGTCATCGGACCCGAACTCGGCATCACGCAGCCCGGCAAGACTATCGTCTGCGGTGACAGCCATACCTCAACGCACGGTGCACTCGGTGCACTCGCTTTCGGGATCGGTACCAGCGAGATTGAGCATGTACTCGCCACGCAATGTCTCCTGCAACAGAAATCGGAAACTTTCGAGATCCGAATTGACGGCACACTGCCTTACGGTGTTACTGCAAAGGACATCATCCTCTCGATTATCGGACATATCGGTATCGACGGCGGCAATGGTACGGTCGTTGAGTTTACAGGCTCAGCGATCCGCGCGCTCAGCATCGAGGAACGGATGACCGTTTGCAATATGTCCATTGAGGCAGGGGCACGTGCCGGTATGATCGCACCTGACGACACCACCTATGAATACATCGCTGGCAAACGTTTTGCGCCGAAAGGTGAAGCATTTGATGCAGCAGTCGAACGCTGGAGGCAACTTCCCACTGATGAAGGCGCAACCTATGATCGGATCTTAAAACTTGATGCCGCAGACATTGCACCGCAGGTGACGTGGGGCACAAACCCCGGTATGGTGACCGATGTAACAGGGCGCGTGCCAGACCCAGCAGGCATGGCGACAGCCGACGAAAAGACTGCCACCGAACACGCTTTAGCATATATGGACCTCAAACCCGGCACGCCACTCACAGATATTGCCGTAGATAGAGTTTTCATCGGCAGCTGCACCAACTCCCGTATCAGCGATCTACGAGCCGCTGCGGAAATCGCCAAAGGTAGGAAAGTCGCAGAAACCGTCAGCGCAATGGTCGTCCCCGGTTCACAGGCGGTCAAACGTCAAGCGGAAGCGGAAGGACTTGATGAGATTTTCCGTGCCGCTGGTTTTGAGTGGCGTGAAGCCGGTTGTAGTATGTGCCTCGGTATGAATCCCGATACCTTAATGCCGGGACAACGCTGTGCGCCAGCACATCAAACCGGAATTTTGAAGGCAGACAGGGCAAAGGCGGACGCACGCACCTTGTCAGTCCACAGATGGCAGCGGCAACCGCGGTCACAGGCCGTTTTGTGGATATCCGGACGTTTGGATAGGTCAAATACGGACTTGCCCGAGATCGCAAAGTGCATACGAACAGGGTATCCCTACCAAAAAAAATACAGAGGTAACAATGGAATCTACCATTATTGAAAAAATCAGGCAGCTTCCGCCCGAACTCCAAGAAGAAGTCATTCATTTCATTGATTTCCTGCGAACAAAAAAAAGTTCAAAACGGAAGAAAAAACCGAACTTGGAGTGGATTGGCGGCTTAAAAGCGTATCGTGACCAGTATACAGCCCTCGAACTTCAGAAAAAGGCATCAGATTGGAGGGATTAGTGAAACCCAAATTCGCCTGAAAATGCCAGAAAACACCAGAAGGAGAAAACAGAAAAATGGAAGCATTTAAAGAACACGTTGGATTTGTCGTTCCACTCGACCGGATTAATGTTGACACCGACCAGATCATCCCGAAGCAATTCCTGAAACGGATTGAACGCACCGGCTTCGGTGAATTTCTCTTTTACGATTGGCGTTATCTTGAGAACGGCGAACCGAACCCAGAATTTGTGCTGAACCACCCGCGCTACGCAGATGCGAGTATCCTCATCGCTGGCGCGAACTTCGGATGCGGGAGTTCGCGCGAACACGCGCCGTGGGCACTCCAACAATACGGTTTCAAGGCGATTCTCGCCCCCTCGTTTGCCGATATTTTCCGCAACAATTGCTACAAGAACAGTATCCTCCCGATAGCCCTGCCCGCAGATGTCATCACCGCACTCAGCCAAGCAGCACAGGACACCGAAGGGTACCAGTTAATGGTAGACCTGGAGGAACAATCGGTAATCTGTCCTGATGGCACTGCACACACTTTTGAAATCGGCGATTTTGAGAAGTATTGTCTGCTGAACGGACTTGACGAAATCGGTTGGACCTTACAGTATGAAGTGGACATCGCTGCTTATGAGAACCAGAATCCCTCATAAATGCCACTACCCTCCTGTCCATAGGCATCAATTTAGCATGTCCAGTAGGATTTCCTAACTTCATCGGTCCCTGCAATTAGGTAGGTTCGGTTTTGCGGCGTACTCGCCCCGACGAGTGCCACACGCGCACTCGGCGTTGATTCATGCGATATGCATTCCTAACCGCACCGGACCTCTATTGCAGTCCGCTGCGTGAGTTAATCGGGTTTCACTATGTTCAACCCATCCTACGAGCTTTCTAACCTCTCTCTGAGCGCACCTCAAAAAAGATTTGAAAAAGTTTGACGTTTATGGGTTAACCATACATAATACGCTCACTGCTACCTTAAACACTAACTGCCCAAACCTTGATAGGCGAGGAAAATGCCATATAATGAAAACGTTACCAAACAAAATAGCCCTTGATCTTGATGATGACACAGAAGTTTCTGTTAAAGGCTTCATTGCCCCCATTGAGAATACCCTATCCAATTTCCACGTAGAGTGGCCCGCATTGGCGAATCTGCGCGTCTCTGAACCAGAGAAACAGCATCACATAGCCGTTTTTCAAGCATTTCTTCCAGATGAACCTGTTTCGGTCGGTGAATGCTGGCAGATTGAAGAAGTGGGCGTGTTGGAGCTGCTCCAGCAATTACATCCCAACCCAGACTTAGATATGCGGATTGATAAAAACGATGTGGGCGATTCCTGCGGGCTATGGGCATGTCTGCGCGCTTACAACGATAGATTTGCTGACCTCGTGTTTCGGATTCATGCGGAGTTCAAGTTAGAAGACGGTTGGTTTACACCGTCGCAATTTACCGGGCATCTTGTGATTGACCGCATCGAAGAGAAGATCGCTTTTTTCGAGATGTACGTCCCTGACGGCACAGTAAATTTTGATGTTAATTGGCAGGAAGACAAAGACGCTCCTTATTCTATTACCGATGCAGGCATTTGCTCGCAAATGGAACTCCGTGCGGGGACGCAAGATGTTGTGCAGGACATAGAATTCGCAGCAGCTATTGCCCAAGAAGAAGCAGAACGTGCCCTGATATTACGTTTCTATAAGTCAGGACAGATTAACTGGGTGCCGCCGGAGCAGGCGTTGGCGTTAGCAGAGGCAGAAGTGAAACTAATTCATGCTATTTCAATAGACGGTCCATTGGCTGATGAGTCCTGCTGAGGGAGCGGCAAAACCTTGAGGGCAGGTGTCCTCTCCGATGACCGAGTTATCAATTTTTTGAACGAAAATTTCATTAACACTTGGGTATCCAATGTTGAATTAGAGCGCACACCGAGAAAGCAAGCCTTCATGGCACGGAGACGCAAGGATAAATCCAAAACGTTTGACAGAACGCACCCCTTGGCACAAGCAATTATGAAGGACTGGAAAAAAGGTTCACCGGTGGATTGTTTGGTCATTTCGCATGAGTTTGAACCGATGGGCGGCATAGACTACAATTTTTTCCCCGAATGTTTGGGCGAGTTTGATGACGAGGTAGAGGCTTACCTGTTTTTCCTCAAAGCATCCATGGAAGGAAAACGTCCAGGATTAGGCGACTCTATCCTCACGCCGGAACAACCTTCACAGGAGGTGGTAGACACTTTTCGCACCCCGATAGTGGCGCATCAGGACTATACCGTTGTCTTCATTAATACCACCGCATTTGAAGATGGTGGCACATTGACTATTGATATAAAAGTCGGTAGAGACGACGCAATAGGGATTTTCCATCTGCTCGACGGAGACAGAAAACTTCCGACAGAAAAAGTGCCTGACGGCATTGATCCCGAAGCATGGAACAGCCAAGAAAGTCAAGTACCCAAGCCTAAAGACTTGGGCTTGTTAA